GTTGCATATCATTTAAAATTATTTTTTATTTGGTTTTTTATATTTTTTTAAAAATGTGCCTTCTTTTCGTTTTTGTTTTTTCCTTCTTTACAATTGTTGTTTGTGTCTTTACAAATTGATTTAATTAATTTTGAGACTATAAAAAAGTTATTAAAATTATTAATTAATTCTTGTTTTCGATAGTGATGACAGTTTTTGTTTTTTGGATTTGAATGAAGTTAAAAGAATGTCGTCTTTTTTCCAAAATCGGATATTTAGTGGATTGGCTTCTTTATCTTTATAAAATTGGGTTTTTTGCGTTTCAATATTATCCATCTCCATTTTAATTTCATCATTTTTGTTGTTTTCATCATCGTGTTTTTCTAATTTTTCCAAACTTTCCCGATTTGGAGATTCTTTTGAAGATATCATTGCAACTTTTTGAAAAAGTTTTCTTCTTTTTTTCTTCAATAATTCCATTTTTTTTAAAATATTTTTTTTCAGATTTGAATATTTCTTTTTCTGCCATTGAATTTTGTTTGGCCTCTTTTGGGATATTAGTACTTCGTTGGTTCAGAGTGCCAATGTACCCAATTTTTTTCAAGCTTGCCAATTACATTTATTGTTGTAAAGTAATTGTCGCTTTGAAGTAAAAATTCCAAAGATTGAGAATTTTTTGGAAGCAAATTTTCTATTAATTCCATAACAACAGACTCTCCATGGTGATATTCTTCTTTTGGAGTAACTTTCCCGATCAATTGGTCTTTCTTCCCCTCATACATTGTCATCCCAACACACAATTTTTTATCGTATGTACAAATACAATAAAATTTCACCCCCCTTTATATTGTTTTTTGTGGGCAGTATTGGATTGCCTTACAACGACCTTTGAACCCAAAAATTCTTTCATCTACACAAACAATTTGACCGGGAGTACAAATGTTGGTAATATTACGGGAAAAAATCCCAAATAATTCTTTGACTGCTGGAAAAACTGTTGTTGTTCTTCTTTCTTCTCTTGTGGCTTTAAGATCACAACGGAACCTTCTATATAGTTCACAGAATCCATTTCTTTTTATTACAATTCCAAAAAATAGACGGGCAAATTCTTGATTCCAAAATCGGGAAAATGGACCTTTCGTTTGCATTGCCTTTATGTAAATCAACACCCCCATAAAACAACGAATTTCATCAGTGTAAGTGTTTTTCCTTTTCGTTGGTGCCAGCAACAATTAAGTCCACAAATTCAGGAGAAACATTTTTTTTTCAAAACACTCTATTTCGGTAGAAAATGTCCCCAAAATTATCGTCTTTCTATAGTTTTGATTCATTTTTGAAAAATCTGCCTCCCCAAAAACGGGGTCTAATATTTCCCAATTTTGAATATTTTTGGTTTTTTCCTCTGGAGGTTGGGTTGAAAAAATAATTTCTTTTTCTGAATTTTTTTCTGGAACAATAATATTTTCACCAAAATTGATTTCTTGTGATATTTCATTTTTATCTTCACAAGAATAGTAGACTGGTTCTTCAGGTAATTCAATTTCCATTTGAATAAAAACGATTTAAAATATAAGAAAAAATATCCCAAAATCGATTATTTCATGTAAAAATTCAAATAAAAAAGCACATTTGGTCAAAATAAATTCAATTATAGTCAGTCTGAAAACGTTGTCCGTTCTCCAACGTTGTCCAGGCATTTTTGGACCATCAAAACTGAAATATTTCGGGAAACCATTCGAAACATTTCAAAAACACTGTTTCATAATTTTTCAATTTTTTCAACTTATTTTGTGTAAAATTTTGTCAAATGGACAACGTTTTTAGACAGACTTTATAACTTTTTATCTTAGTTAGCAAATGGATTCTTTTGGTAAAAAAAAGAAAAATAAATACCCGTTGGATAGATTAGGATACGAAGGTGTTAAACAAATTTAACAGTATGTTTAAAGAACACCAAGAGTATATATATATAATATCAAAGAAATTGAAAACTCTATTCGACAAGTTACTCTTCCATACTTGAAGACACTTGAAAATGAAAAGTAAATAAAGTTAAAAATACTCAAACAACCACTTCTAGAAAAACAAACAACAAAATAATTGAAAAATAAACCGATATACAACTTAAAAACAAAAGACAATAATGTCGTACTTTTTTCATCTCAATTTCTTCTTTTGTTATATAAACAACATAAAGAACAAATTAACTAAAGACTCAGTTAAAAAATAGATATATAATCTTAAATCATATTAAATCGTTACTTTTTAATTTGTTGTGGTGCTTAACACTTTCACAACCCAAAACTTTTTTTTAAGAAGAAAAATAAGTAAAAAGGAAATTGTCCAAATCATTTTTTATTATTTTTATTCCAAAATACCTTTCTAACCCAAACCGGCCAATAGTCAGTTTTATTTTACTTAAAATAATTAACAAATGAGAACTCAATTACCTAAGATTGATCAAAAATAATCTTTTTGGATGAAATTTCATATCGCTTTATAATGTTCAACATTTAATATAAAAACCCTACATCATCAATCCACTTTATGACAAACGATGTCAAATAGACACATCAACAAATATAACGACAATATAAACACCAACATCGTTATAATCAAATGACAATATACTTTTTAAATAAAAAACAACCAAAAATATTAAACCATCATTAGACCCCATTTTTCTTCTTAATGCATTGCTCTTGTTTAACACAAATAAACTCATTTATGTTTATTTGTGTGACTATAAAATATACAATTCAAATTTGAGTTGATAAAAAAATAAATAAAAAATTTCAAAAATTTGTTTTGTGTATGAAGGCAAAAAAAGGGTTTAGGTAAAAGAAAAAAATAAAAACTTATTATTATTACGTTTCTGTTTTGAACGTGTTAAAAATATAATCTGGTTAATCATATTTAATACATGAATACAAAAATTAATAATTAAAATGTAAAATGTGTGTTCCAAACAATAAAGTTGATGCTTTTTGACAAAATTTTAAAACAAAAAGTATTAAATTGGAAATTATTGATATGAATCATGGTTCTAGAAATGGATTGTTATCATCTGAAAATAAATTATTGGGAATTAATAAAATTTTATTTTCAAAAGATTCTATTGACACCCAAGAAGAAATTATTTAAAGACAATTCAAAGACAGAGAAAAATGTCGTTATGTCATTTAAAATGAAAAACGAGAATAAATCAATTATGCTTTACTCTTATAACAATTAAAGAGTCTACATAGCGCCGAGGAGTCATCTTTTATAACCCACATCTTTGCTTCTGGTATTACCAGGTTTTATCCAAACCAATATTAAATAGAGGTCCTGTGCTATTCAATATGGCAAGAATCTGTTTTGGGGATCGAATGGAAAGACAATCTGACTCTCTAAGTTCAGAGCGTTCCCTTCAAAGCCTTTGGAAACACAGAGTTGGGACTTGCTGGAACGGCGAAGATGCGAAGAGACAAAGCTCGACTTACTCTTCCTAGTATATTGCCTTTGGGGTTTACTAGACCCTATCCAGCCACCGGTATAACTTCCGGTGGGAGATCTCGCTTATCGGAGGCATCGATGGCTACTTTCGACGACTCACACTTTGTGGTGTCTCCCTCGTGTAGGGTTGATCTCCCTGTCATTCAAAATTAAAAAATAGAATAAGATAAAAAATGAATAAATTACATCAAAAAGCAACAACTTACCATACCAAATTTTAAAAAACAAAAAGCACAACAACAGAACAATATTCATGACTGTTGTATTATGAACACAAAGTGTGGTTTTTTGTACACTTTATTTAAACCTGAAATGTCTAAGAATTGTACTTTTAAATAGTGTTGTCATTATGGAAAATATCATTTCCCATTTCATTTGACATTTTAAAACAAGATCAAGATAAATTTTTTATTGAATAAATTAAACAATGTCAACAATTTTAACCATAAAACAACTTAAAAGTAAATACCAGAGCAATCAATAATTTGTTACATTTTGTATCATTGTGCTACAACATCAAAAGAATTACCTGTATTACAATTTTTCAATTGAGGGACATGTCGATTACTCAATATCTTTATGGACACAGAAAATAACAAAGGTTTTTGTACGATATTATGTTATATATTCTGAATTACAAAATCCCAAAAATTGAAAATAAACACAAGAAAATTATTGATTCTTTTGTTATTGAAACTATTGACAAAAAATAATAAAGTAAATCCAATAGCAAAAAAGAATTTAATGGTGGAAATAATATTAAAACACAATCAAAAAATACGAATGTTGCTCTAGAATTTGTTCATGATAAAAGTTTAAATCAGAGAAGATTTAACACTCCAAATTTCCAATGAAATCCCCACAATTTTTATCAATCACTCACTCACATAAATAAGAATATTTATTCAACAGTGCTTATTATTGTAGAAAATTGGCAGACATTGTCACGATATAATAAATACACAATAATATCAACTCCGAGTCCATTCATTGATCCAATGTGCTTTACACAGTCACTTAGTAATTATCCCATTTCAACTATGAATTTGTTATTATTTTGGTGTTTTGGGGGTCTCCGTCACTCAGTGGCGGGGTAATTCCTTGTATTTACAATAAATAATGTTTGACTTTTTCCAATTTTTATATTTTTTTATATTATTTTATATATAACAATTATAATTTCATAATTTAAAAAGTTTAATTATGAGTTTTTTAAGGAAAAATGAGTTATGAATTGTTTTGATACATAGGAATTAGTTTAAATATTAGCCCAAATTCCCGAAATATACTTTTTTTAAAAGCCTCAATAACAGTTATATTACAACCTAATTTTGGGATCATTAATCTTAATTGATGTACTTTTGGGAAGATTTGCCCTATATTTATTAGTTATTATTAATAACAACTAATTTATTTTTAATTTTTGTCAAATCAATGGTTAAGTCTGTTTGTATCTAAAAATAACATAGAAAATTCTGTTAAAAAAAATAAGAACTTGGAATTCTCAGAACGTATAAAGTGAGATGGGTCAAATTCTTGCTCTTTTCCGTGGAGGTGCATCTGGCGACGAGATTATAATCGACTTCGAGAGTTTGTGTATTACCATTTCATAACAATTTTGACTCACATGAAGACGTGAACCCAACAGAACCAGAGCTCCCCGTCTGGAACGCCATCGACGCCCTTCTTAAAAAAAAAGATGATGTCCTCAAGCAAATATTCAGCTACACAGGCAAGGACGATTTGATCCGTGCAGCCATATCCTCGCGTACACCCGACGAGGAAGTCAATGGATTAACAAAAGTTGAAGAAGAGGCATGGCAGGCCATTTCCGGCCAAGCTGATATAGTTCATGAATTTTATCAATTCGCGTGTTCTCTTGGTTTGTTCTGTCTCTTAGTCTTCTTTGTAATATGTTTTCGTTGTTTATTGTCAATTAACTCAAATTGTATTATTAACAAACAGAAAATGAATTCCCAAAGTTGATAACTGAGTTGTCGAATACCGAGCCTAAAATTACTTTGATGAACAAACAAGCGTTGTGCAAACAACTTGGGCTTATTCTCGATTTTGTGTTGGCGTTTGACAACAAGAAGGTTACGACTCCAGGTATTCAAAACGACTTTTCGTACTACCGTCGTAACTCGCAAAGGATGAAACAGTTCAAGCGTGAGAACGAGTTGAAAATCCCTGAAGAAACACAAGGAAGAATATCGATGTTTATTGCAAGCCCCTCTCCAATGATGAACCACTTGATTAATATCGTGAAAACGGTGCAAGGAGGGACCACAAATCCGGCGTTTGGCGAAGTCCTTACAACGTTTGCGAATGTGTGCAATGACATGGTCGAGAAGCAAATATTTTCGAACAACGAAATGAATTTATTCTGTTTGCGAGTTATGACTGGGTGCATTATATTGAACGACCGCATTTCTGAACTCACATCATTCCACAAAAAGACGCCCGTCAAAATTAAAGACTGCATCATGCAACTGAAAAACTTCGGAGATAACCCACAATATGCAGAACAAATCAACTCACTGTTGGACACACTCAGATACACTTGTCTTCATGTCAACGACCCAGAAACTCCGGGTTTCATTAAGGCGCTGTTGATTTAGTGTTGTCAAACGTTGTTCAGTTTTTTTGGGTTTAATTAATTCTTTTTAACACTTTTACTATTTTAACTTATTATTATTAATAAATTAAATTATAGTTATTTTTATGTGAATTTTTTGTTTGTGATTTCACATAAGTTACATATTCGAAAACGAAATGTTTTATTGTCGTACACAACAATGATTGGTCAGTTGTGCTACAATTAAGCAAATTCAACAAAAGATATTGCGACGAATAGACGCCTTTGATTCTATATTTTATGTTGTATATCGACCTTATCTAATAAAAAAATAAAACATCAATCTCTATAAAAACTTTTATAATTGTCTATTTTATATTTCAAACAAAAACTTACAACAAATCTTATATTTATAATTTATTTTATTATAATAAACTTGTTTAAAAAACAACTGTTTAATTATTTATAATTAAAAATTTACTATAATAAACGATAAAAAAATACTACAACTTTAATTATTGTTTTATATTTTTTGGTTTATGATTTAATATAATTATTTCTGGTTATTGTACTTGTTATTAAAAACTACATGTTTTAAATTATTATTTTTTAAATCAATGAATTTGTAACAAAAACAACTTTTTTATTTGGATCATTTTAATCAATTATTTGGGGAAACAATCCGAAAAATTTAATTCATTGTTTCATTTCACAATATTCTTATTGCCTGTTTTTTTACACAATATTAAAGCCTATGTTTTCCACAAAACATAGGCTTTAATTTTAGAAGATTGACTTTTTTTTTAAATAATTATTGTTTTAAAGTTAATTAGAGTCATTCTCTGAACGTTGTCCCTTTTGCAAAAAAATAAACAAAAAATTCTTTAAAAAATTGGGAAATAGGTAATAAATCATAAAAACGGTAAAAAAACTGAACCAATGATTTTCTGGCGTTTCGAAAAATTTCCCGATATATTCCAGTTATTAATATATAAAAACTGAAAGACAACGTTAAGGAAAGGACAACGTTAGAGAATGACTCTATTATTAAAAATAAAATCTAAATTTATTAGTTTTTTTGAATGTATTATAAATTATTGCTTAATTTGATATAAATATAATACAGTGTGATCAACTAAAATGAAATATAATTTTTTATTAATAAATAAATTATCGACTCTAATTAACGTTGAATTTACAACTTAGAGGTAAAAAAAGAGTTGTTTGCAATGGTTATTTTGATTATTTTTGTAGATGACAAAAATATAAATAAAAAATTAATAAAAATACATAAAAAGAACTATGTTAACTTAGAATATCGACTTTGATATGTGTTACAAATATTAAATATTTAGTGTCGAAATAGAGAAGCATTGTTGAAGATGTTGTTACTACATAAAATAACAAAAAAACATGTAAAATAAAATAAAAATCACAAATAAATGATTTTTTTATAAATAAATTATATAGTTTATACTTTACTTTTCACAAAAAATATTTCTTTAAATTATTTTAAAAAATAAAATTAACCTTTTTAACAATTATTACTTTAAAGCCAAAATTAATAATAAACTATAGTAATTTATTTATTTAAAAAATACACTGAACAATTATCATGGAATTAAGAACACAAAATTATTACTAACATATAGTTTTAAATAATAAACTTTATTAAAAAGAAACCAAAAAAATAGAAGAAAGAACTGGGGGAAGAAGGTTTTTCTTAAATAGATCGAAAAGAAAAATAGCTAATGAAAGAGATTTGAAATTCCAAGAAAAATGAGATTTGAAACTTAAAGGCATAATTCATGCAACGACTTTGTGAACGTTGCCAAGCACTTGTTGGTCCGCTTGCCAATGATATTAGAAATTTGCGGACAGTAGTGGTTTGTTGTTTTGAATAATTGTTCTTCATGTTTTTATCAAAGCAAAAAATCATTTGGTATTCTTCTGTAAAATCGGTGTTTTTAGACATAACAAATTAACAAAATAGTTGGGTGGTGGGTCGAATCACTACGAAGAAATGGTCGCCCATTTGAGTTCAATTAAGTCCCATACGAATGAACTCCGTTTGAAGTTGTCTTCAATCGACTGTTTTTGTGCAACCGATGATGTGTTGGAGATCTATGACACCGTCGTTGCAAGTGTCGATGATCTTGAAAACGAAATCACTCCAGTGGTTAATTGCTCACGAAAAACATTGTTGGAAGACGACGGAGAAGCCAAACTCATGTTCAGTCAATTAATGAGGGAAATGACACAACACTTGTTTAATATACGAAACGGACTCACACAACTCTCTCAGAAAATTATGACAATGAGAATGGCCACTATCAAACCGGAGTTAAGAGGAGACTTTTCAAGTCTTTTGGAAATCATGAACAAAACCACCGAAATTGTTAAGAACAAAGACTTCCAAAACGTCTTAAGTGTTGCGACACAAGCTAAAGACCGAATGATCTCGCTGACCAAATTAGCAGTGCAAACGGGGGCATCAGACAACGACCAAAAAGCAGTAGTTCTTTCCTTTAGAAATTTACTTTCTGAAATCATCAAATTGAAAAATCTGCAAGGCAATGTCGCCGAAGAAGAAGTTAAAGTCGTCTACGCACAAATTGATATCTTCAAACGAGCTATTCGAGCAGTCGCAATGGGCAATTCAGTGGTCCTACCAAATAGAGCGCCAGCACCACGAGAGTCAAGTCTTGGGGAATTAAAAGAAGAAAGCCAAAGCCCAATGTCCGAAGCTGACATCGCCAAGAGAGTTCGAGAAGAAGAAAGAAAGCGACTTGAGGAACAATTGCAAGAGACTAAAAAAGCGGAAGAGGAGAAGGAAAGAGCGCGACTCGAACAAGAAAAGAAGGAAGCGGAGATTAAAGCTCAGCAAGAGAAAGAAGCACAGAAATTGGAACAATCATCAGAACAACAGAAGTCAAATGCAGATGAAGTACGTAAGAATGAGTTATTAGAGAAATTAGACCAAATTAACATGAGTCTTCTGAGAGAAAAGGAAGAACTTGACAATTTGCTTAAAGCGGAAAAGGAACAAATCAACTCATGCACCACAGACAAAGAAGCTTTTAAAGAACTCAGAGAGATGAAAAAACAAAAGGACGCATTAATTTTGCAGCGCGACATGATTAAGAATAGACTCGAAGTCTTACACAAGTCGGAAAAGGCAGTGCGAAAGCCTTTAAAAATCAAAGGAGACTTCGGAAAGACGATTAAAAGACAGAAGTATTTGTCTAAGGAAATGCCAGTGTTTAAGCAGTCTGCCGTGGAACTTAGAAAACAACTTGAAATTGATAAGTCTGCGCGTGTTATCAAACAGATGAATGACGACAATGCAACTTCCATTGTCGACATCGCAAGACAATTAACCGGATTGTCTAATACACTTGATTTGGACAATGTCGAGAACACTACAGATGTGTACCAAATATTGAGACAGACAGACTTCAACTCAATTGCGCTGAGAATTACTTCGCCGAAGTTCAGGATTTCTTCCTCAATTTCTTATATTGGACATTTTGTGCCAGACAACGAATACGATCCAGAGAAGGACGTCGTTGCTATTGAAAAGTACGAGAAGGAGGCGTTCTACGATTTAGCTGAAAAGGCATCTGATATTGCTACAACCGTGGAAGATATGATGTGCTTTGGATCTTTGTCTATTGTTGCCAAAGACTCTTCGGACGACTATTTGAATGATTTACTCGGAAGTTGTCAATTGGCGCGAAAGGCCGTTGTGACATTTATGAATGCGATTCCGGAGATATATGGCCATGGACTTGAGTGTAAGAGTGACGACAAAGATGCTTTGATAGTGAAGTACAGAGAACGTGTTTTAAAGATTCCAGTCATTAACCCAGTGACTAAGAAAAAAGACGATGAAATCGAGTTAGTCGATTATTACCAAGGAAATGTCACAAAGATAGAACGGACCGACTTTAAGTCTGAAGCGAAGTTAAAGCATGTGGAAGCAGCGCTTGGCCTGAATGCTTCGATTGGAGTGAAGAAGTTGTACCAAACGGTTCAGATCAATGCGGAAAAGATCCGATCGGTGGTTGGGCAGTTTCTTGCGATGTCGAAGTGCATTTCACATCTGCAACCAAAGGACTTTAAAAATTTGAAGGACAAAAGAGTGTTTGATTCAAAGGACTTTGAGAAGGAGTGCGACAAAATCGATAAGGACGCGTCCAAGGAATTTTCTTCACAGATCAAGAAGGACCAATTCTTTACTATCAATTTGGAACAAGACTTTGACATTGAAATTCTCTACATTTTTGAGATCTTGACATTATCAAAACAACTGATGAATTACATTCAAGACTTCATCGACTGTGTACAGACAGTTGTTGCCTTCCAGAAGAGACAGGACACAATGGAAGCAATTATAGACGAAAAGAGTGTCACAGAAGAGTTGGCTTCAAACACGAAATTGATCAAAATAAAGAATGACAGAATCACTTGTGGGAGTTTGAATATGATCATATACCAATTTGTCATGGAAAATAACACCTTTGAAAAACAGTTCTTTTCAACATTCCAATTTTACACAACTCCAACAGTTGTCTTGAGTAAATTGGTTGGGATGTACTTTGGCGCTATTGACAAACAATTTGGACCAAAGACGCTGATTGCTATGAAACACTTTATCGACGAATTTTACGCCATTTTCGACTCGCGCGCGATTTCAGTGATCCACCAATTTATCGAGAAATTGAAACAGCGAAATGAAAACAGTAACTTTGACGCGTTCTCTGCTGTTAATTTGCGAGAAGAAACTAAACTGAACCACACCATCTCTGAAAATTTAGTTCCTCCAATTACATTCTTCATTCCTCTTGAAGCAACTTCACCGTCGAATTTTGTGTTAATGTCGGACCCAAGTGAAGTTGCAAGACAGCTCACCTTAGTCATTTCGAATCTCTACCAAAAAATCGAGAAACAACAGTTCTTCAACAAAGCGTGGTCTAACGAGAAGCTTGCGCCACAGGCAATGGACTTAATTCGTGTCATGCGTTACACTGAAGAAATCTCCGACTGGATTGTCACCATCATTTTGTTGATGTTCTCTGCCGAGAATAGAGTCAAGGCTGCAATTCGATTCATCCAAATAGCAGACTACCTTAATAAATTGAACAACTTTCAACTCCTCTATGGCATCATCCAGGCGTTTGATCAGAAGTCGAAGATATGGAGTTTGAAGTTACTTGACTCCATTCCGTCCAAGTTCGTCAAGATGTTTTCGTCTCTTTCTAAAGTTGTGAATGAGAAGAACGACTTCAAAAACTACCGACAAATCATTTCAAAGTGCAATGAACCGTGTATTCCTTTGTTGTTTGTTATTTTTATTAATTGCAATAAGTGAAGAACTCAATGACTCATCATATAGACCAGTTGTGTTAAAAGATCTTGAAAAGATTCATGACAATGAACCGGATAAAGTGAAGCTTGGGAAGGTCGAAGTGATCAATGTAAAGAAGGCTGAGATGGTAGTTGACGAAGTTGAGAAATTCATGAAGCTGTATTCGAGTACCTATCCATTCCCTGCAGTCGAGCCGTTTTCTACGTATCTGAAAGGAATAGAGAATATGGGGAGCAAGACGCGCAATGAAGTCACTTCGATGTGGACCAGGTTGTTGGACCAGAGTCTCGTTAATTGATTTCGCTTCGAGGAGTACATAACAGTTCTATAAATGAATTTTACACCGCCGTTCGTGTTCAAATATATCAATTTTTAATTCAAAAAGAACGCAATTAGCGAACTAAAGTAACGTAATAATAAATGACAATTCAATGGCGTGTTATTTTGTTGGCTCTCCAAAGTACTCGTCACAACACTGATACACAGCATATACCTTTTCAACGGGTTGGGCGTGGGCAGCGGCTTCCCACTTCTCTGTACCAAAGTACATGAGAAGTTGATCGATGTCATAATTCAAATACGTCAGTGCAGTTTTGTATTGTTGTTGATTGACTGTTTTACTATATAACGGCAGACTTTGTTGCTGTTTTCCTCTGACGGAAATCATCGAATACATCGCATTTGGGATCAGGGGATATTTTAAAGACACATCAAAGTATCTTGCAAGTAAATTGACGATATGAGCTAAGTCGCCATACACTTCATTCATCAATTCAAGCTCTTGGGAACCAATTCGTGTGGGGATCACAACGCCATTTAACAACAAAATGGGTTGGGCCAATTTTTCATCGGGGCGTTGTTTGAGGGAATAAATTTTCTTGAGTTGGGTGATCAACTCCTTCTTGAGCTGAACAACTTTGTTCTGAAGTTCGACGTGTTGTTTTTCTAAATCCTCTGCTATGGACAACACAGTCATCGAGGAGTCTAGCACTTTTTTCATTTGATCCTTTTGAACCTTTTCCATCTCTTCGACCGACTTCTTGAGCTTCTGCGACTCAGAGTCGATAAACACTCGAAGGTCGTCGTTCTGTTTTATCAACGTTTGCTTTTTGGTTTGGAGCTCAATGCGACGGAGTTGAAGTTCTTCCAGCCGTTGGAGCTTTTCAGGTAACGTGCTTCCGTCGGTTTTTTGCGTCAAAATCTTGGATATCTTTGTTTCGAGGTCGGCACATTCCGATTGGCGTGTGTTGATTAAGTTGCGAAGACGAATCAACTCCATGAGTTGGTCGTGGCTGCATGACATTTGGGGCTGCATCGATTGTGTGAAAGAATAGTTTTAATTTAGTTTTTCTTTTTGGACTGTTAATTGTTTCTCAGGCTCATTTATTGCATAACTGGCGGGAATGTTACCAGATCTTAATTATAATGTGTTATTTAAATTTTCCTATTTGTTATTAGTAACAGAATATAGTTCTCCAGAATATAAATATTGTTAATTCAATCAAGATCATCATTGTTGTTTTAAAAATATATAGTTTCAACAGTCTTTAATTTCACTAAAAATGCAAGTTGATGTGATAGAATTAATTTATAGTTATCATTTGTGTTACAAATAATACACTTGAGTTTTTCTTTGAATAAAGTGGTTTGATAAATACACTATACAAAGCTGTACAATAAAGAAGTCTTAATAATAAAGACATCACAAGTTAATTCCGATGTTGATCAAACAATTTTATTCGAGTAGATGTTTTTTCTTCAATTTATGTACTTGTTCAACCGAAATATCGTCAAAATACTTTTGTATTAATTGTTCACAGTTGTACATTAAAACATATATCATTTTCTATCAATTATAAAATATTGTTGAATTTTAGCAAATACAATTATAATTGTTACAACTTAATTTGGTACTTTAAGCGAGTCTGAAAATAGGTAAAACCGTCTTAACGAACTTTTACACTTTGTTTTTGCATCGGGACTTGAAATTTAACAATATAAGTGACATAATTGCTTGGTTATGAAATATCATTATTCTCAAATTAAACAACAAAAAGTGCATTTGCCGGGACTCGAACCCGGATCTCCACCTTGGAAGGGTGGAATTCTGCCCTTAGACCACAAATGCTTCTTAAAATATTTAATAAATACCCATTTTCATTCTATAAATAGTAATTATTAATTATTGATTTATCAGTTGGCAATGATTATTGAAAATGGTAATAAAAGAAAGTTGTCCCAAGTC